TTATCGTCTGCACAGTATGTAAATTAGGTACCGTAAGTCTAATACAGCACTAATTTTATACATTTCTTGTGAAAGAAACACTTCTTATTCAACGTCCATAAAAATTATTTATATTAATGATGTCTCCAAAGGTAAAGTTATTTTTCCGCCAAAAATTCGTTATCAGAAATTGCGGCCGTCGTTTCGCGTGCTGTTCCGCGATGAAAACCAGCTTTAAGCAACGGCGTAGTCGAACGGTGTAAGTAATCCTATAATTTTTTGTTTATAGCATAGTTTGTACGGATTACTCCCAAAAAATTATACGTGTTTTGGAAATGTTGAGTGGAATTAGTCTAGAATCGGTTAATTTTATAGAAGAAAACCTTTCGAACAGCCTTAGTCCGTAAAGTTCCCACCTATCGGGCTGCGATTGGCTCACTCCTACAACGTAATTTTCGGTTAGCGTGGAACGTATCTAAGCGTTATAGGGGGGTCTACTGTATATCTTTTCAGGATTTAAATTTTGTCAAATACTTTTTCCTATTTGTTTCAAATTTGATACAATGAAAGAACACATGTTCAGTTTGGGAATTAAATGTGGATAGTGTTGAAAGATTATAACATTTGCTGCATAGTTTGATAGAGTATTGAAGGTTGTAATCCTTCAACACCTATCTACAATATTCTTTACTGATAAAGTTGTTTTTCTATTTATTTATTTATTTATTTATTTTAAACAGTTATATAATAAATTCTAATTAATTTAAAATTATTTTCAGAATTTTTCAACAGTGGCATATTTGCAATCATGTAAAGTTATAAGAACAAAAAATGGCTTTGGCCTAAGACTAAAGGCCTGTAATATGTATTTTTATCATGTCAACTAAACAAAAGGAGTTCAGGAAAAAAAGTAGTATTTCAATTCCTACAAAAGAGGAAATGATGTCAGATATAAAAAAGCAAGGTTATTTAAAGAGATTGAAGGTAAGTTGTTTATATCAATATTTTTTATACTATAATAGTTTTAAATTTGTGCGGTATTCCTTTAAAGCAATATTTAAAAAAATGACATTTGATAAAACAAACAAAATATTTTTATATAATATTATTCTCTTTTAGACTTAGAATGACGTAAGACTGAAGGATGGAGAATGTTCAGTTAAAATTAAGAGGTTGATAATCCAGCAAAAATAAATGTGTTTTATTGAAACAACCTATGTTCTTAAACATTGTTCTATTGATATAATATGTTCTGGATATATTATCTGATGATGACCATTTAATGATATTTAAAATATTTGTTCAGTTAAATTTATTTTTTCTGGAATATCAAAATGTGTTTTCTGTTAAGTTTCCATTCCAGTTTTGTTTATGTATGTTAATTTTAAAAACTTGTATAAACACGTATACTGGAAACTGTTTTTTAAAACAGTTTCCAGTATAGCTTTGTAACAGATTACAGGATTTATTGATGAGTAATAAATAAAAACAGTATTTTACTTTCCCAGCTTGTTTGGTATATAACACAAGAAAATATTGGAATCATGTCAGAGTTTTTTGCAAATCTCTGCATTTTTTAGACCTCCTGAATCCAAAAATGTCTTCTTTCTACATATTCAAGAAGAAATTGTTTTTAACACTGACTACAAGGGAAATTTATATAGTAAAACCAGTCAAACAACTTAATCAGCTTAAAATGAAATTGTCTTGAACTGATTAAATTGATTTTGGTTGATTTTGTGTTTAAAGAGTTAATTTAGAAAGTGTTTTTCATTAAATTTTCTTAAACTGTTTTACTGGAAATAGTGTGGAAGTTTTAGTGTAAATAATATAACTAAGCATGCCTTTTACATAACATCATCTGTGGCCACTCAGTAAACTAGTCTGGTAGCCATGGAATTTCAAGTTTCCTCTTGTAATTTTGTCTGGATTAAAGGTGCCAGGTTATCAGTTGCCAGAAATTTGGCTTACCTGTAATAATAAAATAATTGAGATTTTTTTTAAAAGAATGTGATATGTTCTTAAAGTAGAGATTATAATTTTGGCTTAAATAAAATATTTTTTTAAAAGAATTTTTGCAACTGTTTTTTACAAATTTTTGTGAACAAAAACTGGTTTTGTTGAAAAGTGATTCTATTTTATATCATCAATAAGATGCAACACTTACAATTTTCATTATTAACATAATTATTAGTAATGTATCTTATTGATGATTAAAAAAAACTAATTTTCAGGATACTAAAGGAATTAATTTATCTGAAAATATTACTATAGATTAGTAAATTCCTGAATTTTATTCAGGATTTGAAAAACACTTCTAATGATCAAGATTTGTTGCTATTAAGTCAACTTTTTAAATGTAATCATTATTTTTGTATTCTATAACACTGTGCACTTATAAAAAATTGTTGATCAAGGTATTAATATAATTGTGTGTGTTTGTGTTTTTTTTTTCTTTATAACTCCTGTGTCTTTGTCCAATCCAAATGAAATTTGGCTTAGGTGCTACTTATGTTTTGACAGAAAGTATAGGCTACTTAATGTAAAGAAATATATGAATTTATATTAAGTAGCATATACTTTCTGTCCAAACATAAATAGCACCTAAGCACATATATAAAATATATAATTTTAAATATAAAAAAATATGTCCATGACATGGGACTATCAATTTCAGAGCACTTACATTAGTGACATTATTTATCTTAATAATAGCCATATTGTATCACTTCTACAACAAAATTTTTAAAAGACTTTCTATTATTGACATTCTATTTTCTCATAGAAAGTAGTCCTTCATTGATGGGAATTTCTGCAGTTACTGATAAAATATTAAAATATTTAATAGTTCATAAATTACTACAGTAACTGCAAAAATGACAAGAAGTAAAAAGATTAGATTTAATGGAATCTTAATAGTACTGATGGGACTAATGGCAAAATTTCTCCCAATTCAGATTCTTTTGAATACTTTGTAAAGTTTATTTTAGTTTAGAAAAATGAATGATTTACATTACAAGCACAGTACATTCATTCATTCATTCATTAATAAACTTATGAATAATCAAGCTTAAGAATGGAAAATGTTCAGAAAATCCAGAATTAATCTTTTGAAAGAAAAGTGAAAATTCTCCATTTATATGTGGATATGCATGCATTTATTGTGTGCAGGTAACCCCCATATAACATGGGAGTTACGTTCCAAAAAATTGCCTTGTTATGCGAATTTGTGTTATATGAAACAAAGAACTAGTGCCAAAAGGGGGTTAGGTTCCAAAAATTAAAAAGCATGCTGTTAAATCCTTACTTAAATCGGATTTATTATTCATTTTTTTCATAGGTAAATTACTTATTTAAGTAAATATTTTATTAGAGGATTATTCATCCTATATGATGATCTCGGCATGAACATCATCAACTGGTAACAGTTTTTGGGTGCGTTCATTAATAGCAGTTGCTCTGCAATGGGAGTGCACTGCTGTTGGTAGGCATTTCGTTCCAATGGTGAAAAAAAGATGGCGGCACTGCACTATCGATAGTATCAGGATGGAGGAATCTATAATTTTAAAATATGAGCTTTTAGAACGATTAGAATGCTCGCGTGGAGTTACATGGAGATATAAAAGAACACACCCTTTATTACATTTTATGTTGTACGAGGGTTTTACCCAATTCTTGAACCATGTTAGAGTGAACCCGTGTTATAAAAGCACCGTGTTATACGCATGGGCGTAGCGAGGGGGGCCTGGATGGGCACGGCCCCCCCAGTTAACCTGGTGCCCACCCCAGAAAATCGCAGCCAAAAAGGTGTTGAGCCGATTTGCAAAAAGAAATAAAAGATTGAAGCTGAAAATTCTGAATCCTAAAAGTAAAAGGTCAACAGCTCCCTGTGCCCAAAGGAAGTTTCATATTTTGTGTGTGTTAAGTTATTGTCAATTCTTATGGAATATTCATTTTAATGAACAATAATTTGAAATAATTCAATTTTGTGTCAGGTTGGCCTTTACTAGGCCCCCCATAACAAAACTCTGGCTATGCCCATATACGAGGATGTTCCCAATTCTCAAACTGTGTTAGAGTGAATCCTGTTATAGAAGTGCTGTGTTATACGGGTGTTACCTGTACTACAAAATAAATTTGTAGTCTCTTTTGGATAAAGTTAATATTGCAACACTACCCCAAAGAAATTACAGCTAATTTCCATTTACTCAATGAACTATCCAATCATGTCATGTAGGGTTGCCATCTTTGGAAACTGCTTTTATGGTGGGGGAGGGTAAGGTAAACGAGAAGATGCACTTTTTTCATGCTTTTCACAATAGGCATGTCCTGTAAAGGATTTAACTCCATCATATTTAATACTAAATGAAGTTTGGCAAATGATGCAATGAGCTGAATGAATATCATCATCACGAGTTAACTGATTTTTGAATACATTCACTTGAGCCAAAAATATCTAGACTGACTCATGTTGAAAATCAATTTTTAAAACTCAAAACGGCATTAAACTTATCATGAACAAGTATTTTTACTCAGAAATGTGCGAATTACATTTGAAAATTAAACGTATTACAGCATTATCTGTGAATCACAACAAAAACGTTCATAATTATAATGAGAAAGTCATTTTATCATTATAAGTAAACATACTAAATATCCAACACTTTTGCAATTTCTACTGCAATGCTATTAAAAAAAAATGTATCATGGTACTATATTTGCTGCATCAAAAGAATTTAAATTTTATCACTGAAATTTCCTAATTAATGAAACAAATAATACATTCAGAAAAACAAAAAATTGATGTTAATATTTAATACATACAAAATTGTCCATAGGAACAAAAAAGTTGATACAAGAGTATATCTCAATTGTTTACCAATTAATATCAAATGTAATCCTGAAGCTGCATTAAAAGCCGAAATTGCATAACATAACGGTAATTAAAATGTTTACTTATCGCATTAATTTAATCTTTATATATGTTAAATGAATACAAGTTATTCTTTCCATTGAAAATTTTCTTGTTTGTTGAAAATGTTTATTTGTATAATTAAAACTATTTTTTACTGGGTTTTCTAGTATTTATGAAGCTATAATATCATATCCAGTTATTAAGGAACATTACTTTTAAAGTTATCATATTCAGTATTTGGTATTGATATTTTAATTTTTTAAAATTAAGTATAGTATGAACAAATTTTTCTAAGACTTTATTTGAGGATGATTTTTTAAAATATTTATCATGAAACATTGATCATCATAATGGCTAAATTTAAAAAAGAATATAAAAGGAAATGAATTTTTCCTTTTATAAAAGGAAATATAAAAGGAAATGAATTTTTCCTTTTATATCCTTTTATTCTAATCCATTTATTCATTAATAATAATTTTCTTAAATAAATTTCTTTTAAAAGAATATTTTAATTATCAATTTGCTAATAATAGTTAAAAATTATAAATTTATTAATGAATTTTTTCATTTAAAATTAATAAATTGAAACTTGACTATTTAAATAATCATTTTGTTTGTTTCTTAATATTTCAAGGTAAATTTAATTTTAAAATTTCAAACTGCTATAAAAAAAAAGGAAAATNTATGTGCAGTGTTATATTTAAAACTAATTTGTTAATTAATTTATTTCCATTATTTCATAATTTACCTGAAGCAGGGTGAAGAATATTTTCAGGACTCAAAATTTCCCCTGAACATAAATTACATACAAAATTTTCCCAAAAATTGTTGTACACTAGCACATAAAACGAAGCATTTTATATGTGAATTAATAGTTATTACTATGTATTTTGAATTATTCTAATTAATTAATTAAATCATATAAATAACAAGCAATTATTTTATTGTGACATCGTCACAATTTCAGGCTGCAATTTTTAATCATATTTTCATTTAATTTAAAATACATGGTACGATCCAAAAGTTCGGGGACTGCAGTAATGTATGACAACAGAAGCATGTATTTGAA